TGAGACCAAACTGCTGTTCTCTCTCTCTGTACCTCCATCCAAGGCAGCGCCGGTCTAGGCCTGAAACGTCAGCCTTCCTGCTCCTATGATGCTGCTTGGCCTGCGGTGTTCATCCAGCTCTACACCTTGTTATCTCAGGCAATTACTTTAGCTGTCTTTTTACTTTTCCTTGGTTGAGACATTTCCTCTGTCCTGCTCTCTTTGGAATTTTAAAGTGATATGATGCAAATGTGAAATTGATATTTGTCTAATACAGTAATAAATGGAAATATTGAATTGAAGAAACTGTCTTGTATTTTGTCTAATACCATGGAGTTATATCTTGCCATCTTAGTTGGTTCTTTATGTTTCAAATACAGCACTATTTCAAGGAAACATATATTTGGCCCAAACCTTTATGTTCTAGTTACCATAAAGAGAGTAATCTTCAAACACTATTACCTCTTGCTGTTGCCTAACAATGCTGGTGGTCTTCAACTTCCAGCAGAGATCAGTTCCATTTAAAATTCTTTCATGTTATGGCTGTACAAAACATTTGCAAGGCCACTTTTGGAATACTGCATTCAATTCTGGTCTCCCTGCTGTCAGAAGGATGTTGTGAACCTTGAAAGGGTGCAGCAAAAATTTACAAGGATGCTGCCATTGTTGGAGGTTTGAACAATAGGGAGAGGCTGAATAGGCTGGTGCTATTTTCCCTGGTGCGTCGGAGGCTGAGGGGTGACCTTATAGAGGTTTATAACATCATGAAGGGCAGGGATAGGGTAAATAGACAAAGTCTTTTCCCCAGGGTGGTGGAGTCTGAAACTAGAGGGCATAGGTTTAAGGTGAGAGGGGAAAGATTTAAAAGGGACCCGAGAGGCAACTTTTTCACGCAGAGGGTTGGTGTGTGTATGGAATGAGTTGCCAGAGGAAGTGGTGGAAACTGGTACAATTACAACATTTAAAAGAATGGGTACATGAATAGGAATGGTTTAGAGGGATATGACCCAAATGCTGGCAAATGGCACCAGATTAATTTAGGATATATGGTCAGTTGTACCGAAGGGTCAGTTTCCATGCTGTACAGCTCTATGACTCTATTAGATGTTGCTGGGGTTGCTGGCAATGCAGCCATTTATTATCCATCTCTAACTAGCCTTGAACTGCTTGCTAGGCTATTTCAGAGGGCAATTAAGTGTCAACCACTTAGCTGTGGATCTGGAGTCACATGTAGACCAGAACAGATATGAATGGCATATTCCCTTCCCAAAGGGAATTGATAAACCATATGGGCTAGTGACAACTAATGTAATTTCATAATTTACTGAGGCTAACTTTCAATTCTAGATGCTACTACACTGTACTTGAATTTAAACCCCAGCAGCTGTCCTATGTTCCCACATTGTTACTCAGGGTTTCTGGATTACTAGGGTACAGATATTACCACTACACCAGCAACTGGTCAATAGCTCCTTAATGTTCCTATATCAGTCTATAGGTGTCACTCACAATCAAGTACTAGACTTGAGGCTGTTGCTTGAAGTTGCCTTTCATTTTGTCCTTGTCCCCAGTTTGATCAGCCTAGAATATCTGGTAAGAATATCAATGGTGCTATTCCACTCATCATTATCAAAGAGTAAATTGGACAATAACTTCCAGAACCTGCGCATACAAAGTTAAATGTGGAGAAATCAGAAAATTCTTGTCTGATTTTCCTTATTGCTTTGAGCTTCGTTGCACTGGTACCTCACCAAGAGATTCAGCACTGAAATTCAGGAAGGACATGATGTTGTGAAAATGTCCAGCAAATATCCACTAAATACTTTAGGAATAGTTATGACTGGTCCAATGAAGTGTAGTAATTTTGTAATATTGTAATGAATCTTAATTACTACCAAAATGATCTCTCTAGTACTGAAAATTTATTCTTATAAACGTGAAGGCTCATTTGTTTATATTTTAATTATTGTTGGAGATTTTATTTCAATAATAAAGTTTACTTTTTCTTCCACCTCTCTCTATTTTTCCCATCTTTTCTGACTGCATATGATTAATGTTCAATTATATATTCCAACTCAATAGTTTGAGGATTCTTTAACCTGATTGATTGGAGAGATTGGAGAGAAAGGATTTAGTTCCCTTGATATTGCCTGCCCAACCTCCTCCATCCCCTATGGCTCAGTTACTACATCAAGACCTTTCTGCACCTATATTAAACTCAGGACCGCTTTCTCAATGCTAGGAATTGGATGCGGATTCACTCAACTGATCTCACACCCCCTCCCACTATCATGCCTGTTCCAGTGGACTCCGTCAGATTCCACCCAATGTTGCTTGCTCATTCACACAGGTCTGCAATGCCCTCTAGAGGGTGCTGTGCTGTATTGGAATCCCAATGAGCAGAAGGCACAAAATGCCTGTGGGCAGCTACAAGGAACGAGAACTCATGTGTCATTCAATGGCCACTGACTGCAAAATCCAGACCATATTTTTGCTTTTTTTATTCCCATAAGTTAACTTCCATTCCTGGTACCTCTTTAAAAACTTGTGACTCACATGAAAGCAGTCACTATACTTAATCTTCCTGCTAACCTTTGCAGTGGACGAAGCATTGTAGGTGGACAAGGCAGAAACTGGCTTTACAAAAAATAAATGTCACTCTGTTTCTAAAATAATTCATTCTTGCTTTCGATCAGTCTGCAGAGGAGACATTTGTGTGAGTGCTATGTGTAGCCATAACCACAGTTCTTGCTCTGTCGCGAACTGGTCAGCAGTCTGTCTTCATGAAAAGATTATTTGTCAAGTCTGTATTGGGCAAGAAGGGCCAGGCAATGACATTTCTGCAATAGAAACAAAATGCAATTCCTTTGTTTTCATTCATTCAAGGGAGAATGAGCATCACTAACTAGGTCAACAGCAAGGTGTAAATTCATTCTAAGGTGAAGCAGGTTTTAGGGAACCTGGGGATGGGATTTGGGAGGATGTTACCAGAGAGATTCATTGCCTCCATATTGGGAACTGCCGTGCGATTACACTGTGTTAAAGCTCACCGTTGTAACTTCTGGTCACAGTCTTTAATAGAAATAAAGTGAGAATATTAAGCTTAAAAATGTCACTGGCCTGATCAGAAATAAAGTGACTGAAACCCCTTGTTCATTTCCAAAGTAATCAAATTCCAACCTCACCAAAGCCAGCACAGTCCAGCAAAACCTCAGCCAAATGGAGTCCTCCAGGGTCCCTTTAAGGTGTGAGGAGGATTGATTTTGATTGGGCAACACTGCAGAGGATTTGATGTCAGCACGTGGAAATGCCTCATGTCTATGGGAGTCAGAGTTCCTTTCCCTTTGGATGCTGATGCCAAATTATGAGACTAATTGGTTTAAAATGCCAGGTTTCAGTTCTGACCTTTTCCAAAACAAAAAAGCCAGCAGTGTTTTTCCTTTTGCCCTCAAAGGGCGCCCAAGGTGAGGGCCTCGTATGCTTAATTGCAGTGCCAGCCCTGATCACCAGAATATCACACGGATACGGAAAGATAATGCCTTTCTTTTCATTCGAAATAATGCAGAACTTTGTATGAATCCGTATTGCAGCAGCAGTTAAAAAAGGAGGAAGCAGTTCAGAAGAATTTACAAATTGCAAAATATTTGTTAAGCCAGAAGATATTTCCTCTTTGAAACTGGATTTCGACATTAAGTTGTTAATATGTAACTTGGGAAAGGGGGCAGAGAAGCACGAGTCTTGGCTCAGTAGCAAGGTCAATTTAAACATACAAAAAAGCAGAAATAGGCCATTTGGCCCTCAGACCACCTTTGTCATTCAATAAGATCATGACAGATCTACTTCAACTCCAGCTTCACACCATATCCCCTATTCCTCAGGTCTGTTAGTTCCCAAAGGTCTAAAAACTTTGAAGCCTGTGACTTCAAGCCCAAGTCCAAAAGCTTAAACACATAATCTCGGCAGACACTTCAGTATAATTCAGGGAGTGTGCTGCAGTGTCAGACGTACTGTCTTACCCTGATGTTAAACTGACTCCCCAACATCTTGCTGAAGTGGATTTAAAGATCTCACAGTACCAAATTCAAGAGAGGCAGAGGAGTTTCCTGGCTGCTCTGGTCAATGTTTAACTCTCAACCAAGGTGGCTGGTGCAAATTATCTGATCATTGAACATTGTAGGCTTTATGCAAATTAGCTTACACATTCCATATGCTCCAGTCATGAAACATTAAAAAAAAGGCACGAGATTGGCTCTGAAACACTTTGGGGTATTCTGATGTGGAAGGCAAAACATCAGAGCAAGTTCCTTTTTAATGCTGAGCAACACTACTCAAATCATTTCCCTACAGCCAAAGTCTTCCAGGAACTCATCTTCCCTTTCACATTTGAGAGCTCTGCCAGTCCATTGAATTTCCCTAACAGTGGTGATTGAGTTACAGAAATAAACCACTGACTCCTTGATTTGATGACACCATCTGATGACCTGCAATATTTTCACTGTCTCTTCGGTTCAATTGTACCAATGTACCAAAACACATTGGAAAAACAACATGATTACTTACAGTACTGCCACGTACAACCTCACAAGATAATACAAACTGAAATGCATCATCAGTTCCCCTTTGCTCATCAACAATTTGTATTCCTTCAGTGCCTCTATTAGTTTGACTGGAATAAACCTCCAACCCTAAAGTGCTTGCTGAAACTTACTGCCTAGACATCATCAAATAGCAGAAGTCATCAGCACTTTCAAAAAATGGATGGAAAACTGCTGAGGTGTTGTGGATGCAGTGGTGAGGGGAGGTGTGAAAAATGACCAAAAAGACTCAGGACAGATATTCTAGATGAGGTTGTTTTTTTAACATTGAACTTGAATTTCCTCCTTCCATAGTTTGCTTGGAAAATTTGCCTCTGACCTCCCAACTTCCTCCTCAAAACCTGAAATATGCTTCAATGTAAAAGAAAATGTAAAATTCTGTAAATGGACAATCTCATTGCCGGAAGAAGTCACCGGGAACCTGCGTGTAGTAGAGGATTGACAGAAATATTACAGATTAGAACTAAAGGACAAAAGGTAACATAAGATTAAACAAAAGATACACTGTGAAAATAAAGGGAAAGACAAGTGTTTTCTGTATTCTATTTGAATAAATGCCATTCATATATATGTCAATATCATGTGTCATAATAAGAGCAGTAAATCACTGATGACTTGACAAAGCCAATTAAACATCTTCAGTAAAAGATCCTTCTTGCAAACCAATGAGAGCCATTGTTTCATTGACTCCCCATCCAACTGGTCTTCACCACACATTGTGGACTTAGGGCCTTGTCATTGGTGCAAGGTTGCGGAGGAAATTCTCTAGTAACTGCCGGGGAAACCCAAAGTCCGTCGCAATGGTCACATAACCCTGCAAAAAAGAGACGAGACTACAGAGTTCAACCAAACTGCTGGCCGCCTGCTATCAAAGTGCGTTAAAAATCTGTAATCGTTTCCTACCTCATCTGTCTCCATCACGGGGTTGGTAATGTTAAAATAGCATAGTCCTTTCTTGTGAAGTAGGGCTGTTATGTAAAATTCAATATCTAGTCAAAAAAGGAAAATAAAAGTTCCATTTATTCACCTTTTTGAGTCTGGTTTTAGCCAACCGACAATGGGTAATCCACACTCAGTTAGTCAATTCTGTATATTCAGATTACAGACCATTCAACTTAAACTGCTCCCTGTCCCACCAACAGCAGCACCAATGCTGCTACAATTGAGCAATAAAAAGCAGGCAGCAATGCGACCTCAACACAAAAATATAATGTGCCACATTTGCAGACTAATAGGCAGGACAGAACAGTTGATAGCAAGGAAGTCTAAGAGACTCAACAGCAACAAACAGCATAGGCTGATGGGAGAGAGAGTGGGGAGAATTCACTCCCCAATAAAAGTGAGTAGACAATACAAAGAAAGGAATATTCTAGAATTGATGCCCTGTCTCTACTAGGTTAGTAAAAATCAATCAAGACTGCAGTGGCAAGTGCTCCTGCTAAAGTCAGAGCTACAGTGTAAAACAAAGTAAACGCAAAATATTTGTCCCAGCTGCTGGCTCACATATGGAAACTGGTACGTGTGGGGCCAGAAATGGAAGCTTGATGAAATAATAGAAAAACACAAATACTTCAGGTACCTGTCCAGGAAGGCTACAATTTTGATTCCGATGTCCAAGTCAGAGAATCAAATTCTTCTTCATGCTGTGCCTATACACAGCAAAGCCTAATTCACATTTGAAATCTGGCCAGTGTGCATTCATTGGGGGAGGCTGGGATTGTCACTGGAGTAGGAATTCAGAGCCACAGGCTAACACTCAATGACACAGGTTTGTGTCACTCCTCGGCCAAAGCTAATCTAATGAATCTATCTGGTTCACCGACGTCCTTTACCCAGTCTGGCCCACCTGCGACTCCAGAACCAGAGACATTTGATTAGCTCATAACTGCCCCCTGAAGTAGCCTAAAAAACTAATCAACTTGAGAGCTGTTAGGAATGGGTTATAACGTATGTAACAACAAAAGAAATCCTGAATTGCCAACCAATACACCCCATTGAAAATGGGGAGAGGTGTAAAAAGAGGTGCTGACTCGGCCTGCTTTGCATGATAATTATGTTGAATTAAAATCTATGCTGCTCAAGTTTATGTTTTCGATTCGGAATCCCACAGACATACTTACACGAGATTATCTTTTCTAATCCTCCCGTTGCGAAAAATGCCTCCAAGTAACGCTTAGCTTTACTCTCATCCTGAAATAACAAATTTTCTACAGTCTGAAACATTCTCATTCCTTAACATCAGCAGAGGCTGGTCACACAAATGAATCTCGCTTGGGGCAACATTTTATTTTAAATTTTGACAAATTAAAATAAATCCAGGAACATGCTGAAGGATTGGCTTATTCTCCTGGCGAGTGGACACAGAAATGTGGAGTGTGGTTTGTGGAAATGCAATTGTTAAGTGTGTACACCTTAGCTCTTGCCTTTGGAGATACCAGTTATAGAGTTGTCAAGTCATACAGACGTACGGTACAGAAACAGACCCTTCGGTCCAACTTGTCCATGCGAACCAGATATCCGAAATAAATCTAGACCCCTCTGCCAGCATTTGGCACATATCCCCCTTAACCCTTCTTATTCACATACCCACCCAGATACCTTTTAGTTGTTACAATTGTACCAGCCTTCACCACTTCCTCTGGCAGCACGTGCCATACATGCTCCACCCTCTGCGTGAAAATGTTGCCCCTTAGGTCCCTTTCAAATCTTTCCCTTCTCTCTTAAACCTATGCCCTCTAATTTTTTACTCCCCCTACACCCCAGGGAAAATACCTTATCTATTTACCCTAGCCATGCCCCTCATGATTTCGTAAACTTCTACAAGGTCACCCCTCAGCCTCCGACACTCCAGGGAAAATAGCCCCAGCCTATTCAGCCTTTCACTATACCTCAAGCCCTCCAACCCTGGCAACATCCTTGTAAATTTTGGTTTAAATCAGATAAATTTAGATCTACAGTTTCCTGTGTCTAAGTGCAGGAGGTCTCCCAAACTTGGAGTCTCTAAAACTATTGACTCCAGCCAATGTACAGCAGCCTTTGTGGTTCCTCCCAGTTGCTGTCTGAATCGTCAACTAGGATCTGGTTCAGTCTGGCTGGTCAGATTCAGACCGAGGAGACAACAAACAGAATGACCAAATACTGCAGTAGAAAAAGTGGTCATTCTGGCCTTTGTAGCAGAATCGGCTCTCTAGAAAAGCTATCTGCCTCCTTCCATTCCCTATCCTTTCCACGGTACAATTCAACTTCCCTTTAAAAAAATTATTATAGGTTCTGCTTTTTCCAATATTTCTGACAGGACATGCTATAATTGCCATCTGTACAAAAGCATTCCTCATAAAGCCTCCCTTTATTCTATGGCTAATAGTTCAAAATTCATTCTCAGCAAGTTGGTGTGGCCAACAAGACTGGCATTTAAAACCTATGGTCACTTATCCTTGAGAAGATAGTGGTGCACTTTCTTCAGCCATGTCCTGAACTGGCTTGAAGTGTAGATTTAACAAGTGAAGCATAAATGAACTGTTTAATGATTGACCAATGGAATTGTGGTTTTTCACATTAACCTTATAAAGTACAATATCGAATTTAGACAGGGGACAGAATCACAAACAGCTTAGTTTTCCTCATGTGAAAACAAACATACCTGAACAAATTTGAGAGAAGATACTTTCTTTTGTCCGTTTTACTGAAAAAGCCATACCACCCATCAGTAAGTGTTAGGCAGCAAGTACTTTCCACACTTGCACATACAGGCACATCAGAACAATATGTCATTGGGCCATGACAGAGCAAAAAAGATGCTCTTATGTTTACAAAACAAACAGAAATAAAAGGTCAATGAATATTGTCTCAATGAGCTTCATCTCTTTGAAGTTACAGTCAATTCATGAAACATTGTGAACTTGCTGAAAGAGGATTCTAGGTGTACTAACCAGCGCAATTGCGGGATTACTTCTTACAGCTTTGATGGACCAGCTGTGGAAAGATGCACCATTTGAAAGGTTAATAAGTCTCAGTAATAACATGGACAATGTTGCAAATAACTGTACTTTGGTGAATGAGACACTCACTGGTTAGAAGAGGGCCGTAGATGGATTTTGCTGTCTGTGTAAGATGTATGGACAATAGTTTCAGAAGCCTGAGGATAAGAAGAGAAAACTCTGAAGTAACAATCACTTATGCCTTTAAATTGGAATCACACAAGACAAATTTTAACTACTATCAAATGAGAGATCTGCATTTACATTATCTCCATTAACATTAGAGCATGTTCCATTGACTGCCCATTACGGCAGCACTGCGCACCTTTCCTACACAGAGAAAGTCAGAACATTAAACAACAGAGTCATGAGCTGCAACAAAAACAAAGTTGCTGGAAAAGCTCAGCAGGTCTGACAGCATCTGTGAAGGAGAAAACAGAGTTAACGTTTCAGGTCCAGTGACCCGTCCTCAGAACGGAGCTGGATGAGCTGGATGACTAATCGACTCAGAATTAACCTCTGGAGATTCTTCAATCAGATATGAATGGAATAACAGGCTATGTTGTTCGACAGAAGAAGTTGCTGTCTCGTTAATCCAGTCCCCTCTGCCAGCATTTGGCCCATATCCCTCTAAACCCTTCCTATTCATGCACCCATCCAGATGCCTTTTAAATGTTGTAATTGTACCAGGCTCCACCAATTCCTCTGGTGGCTCATTCCATACATACACCACCCTCTGCATGAAAAAGTTGCCCCTCGCATCTCTTTTAAATTTTTCCTCTCTCACCTTAAACCTATGCCTTCTAGTTTTGGACTCCCCTACCCTCGGGAAAAGACCTTGCCTATTCACCCTATTCATGCCCCTCATGATTTTATAAACTTCTGAGAGGGGCATTGGATGGTTACTTGGATAGAGATAGTGCACAGAGATATAATGAAAAGGCAGGAGCTCATCACTGGGCAATAGAAACTGGTGCAAACATAATAGGGCTGAATAGCCTCCTTATGTGCTATAACAATTATTTGAGTCTGTGATTGCTTTCAGAGGAAAACGTGCCTCAACACAATTAGAGTTGTTCTACTAACCTCAATCACCAGTACAAAATTAGAATGTTCACCCACTGACTCAGTAAAGGGCATCATGCAAATGCCGAATGCAAAATATTCGCCAGCAATTGAAACTAAAACAGCCTAAATACACATCTGCAAAGTTAATAATCAAATGTTGATCCCAGGGTACTTCACCTTGAGAATTTTGCTGATTAGAGTCTAGAATTGCTACCCTACGCTTTACTTAAATGTCCCAGGATATAAGAACTCTGTGGTCAAGAATGTATGGTACAACAAAAGTATATTCATGAAATTGAGAGTTAATACAACAAGGAAGCTAGCCATGAATTTTCAGAGGAAAACATTTTGAGTGGGAAGGGGATTGATTGGTGTGAGATAAAACGTTTTCACACAGTGAGTAGTTAGGGTACGGATGGTACTGCCTGGAAATGTCGTGGACGCAGGTTCAAATGAGGCATTCAAGAGGGGCATTGGATGGTTACTTGGATAGAGGTAGTGCACAGAGATATAATGAAAAGGCAGGAGCTTGTCACTGGGCAATTGAAACTGGTGCAAACATAATAGGGCTGAATGGCCTCCTTCTGCGCTATAACAATTATTTGAATCTGTGACTGCTTTCAGAGGAAAATGTGCCTCAACACAATTAGCTTTAAGACAAATAGCTGTTGCAATTTTTCATCCTGGTGCTGAGGTAACAGGAATGAAAGCATTCAGTGACAGGGAGAACCATGTATGGTTGCTGTTTCTGGATGGCTGTTGAGACTGGAGCAAGTTAGCACACAAACGCCCCAACAAACGCAAGCTGAGCCCCAGCTTTGGCAGTTTCAGTTAATCTAGAGCAGACAGCAGCACAATGAACGTTTGAATTGAAGATAACCACAACAGGAAAGTGATAGGAAACAGGAAGCTCTTGGCGAGTGGCACACAAAATAACAAGATTAGTTACTTTTACTTAGAGTCATAGAGATGTACAGCACAAATCAGACCCTTCAGTCCAACTCATCCATGCTGACCAGAGTTCATAAATTAATCCAGTCCCCTCTGCTAGCATTTGGCCCATATCCCTCTAAACCCTTCCTATTCATGCACCTATCCAGATGCCTTTTAAATGTTGTAATTGTACCAGGCTCCACCAATTCCTCTGGTGGTTCATTCCATACATGCACCACCCTCTGCATGAAAAAGTTGCCCCTCACATCTCTTCTAAATCTTTCCTCCCTCACCTTAAACCTATGCCTTCTAGTTTTAGACTCCCCTACCCTCGGGAAAAGACCTTGCTTATTCATCTTATTCATGCCCCTCATGATTTTATAAACTTCTGTAAGGTTCACCCCTCATTCTCTGATGTTCCCGCGAAAATAACCTCAGACTATTCAGCCTCTCCCTATAGCTCAAACTCTGCAACCCTGGCAATCTTTTCTTCTCCGTGAAGAGAACAGTGAATCCAGTTGAGCAGGTGAGATGGTGTCATGAACACAGTTTTGTCAGGCAAATTCTGGAAGCATGGATAACAAAGGATCCACAAGTGAATTCTCTCAATTATTTTTATTTTATGCATTAATCCTAAAGTAAGTTCCAATTAACCTAGCTTCAATGGAACTAATGTATTTTTTCTGCAATTATTTTCTAAAATTTGAACTGAATTTCCTACCCACGTTCAGAATCACTGAAAACAGCACAGTCGCACCTCCATTATGGAGTCTAACAGTGGTATCAGTCATGTTATAGATCATGTCTACGTGGGAATATTTTCCTGCATGGTCATGCAGAGTTCAGCTCATTACTTGCGCACATAAATTGTAGCACGAATGGAAAGGTGAATTTTATGAGGTAGGCAGACGGGAAGTTCGTGACCCCTTCCAATGTCAGAAGCTTCTGGGGTCAAAGGTCCAGTTGCCATATTTAAAGGCCACCCAGACAGGCCTTCACACACTAAGTCCGCATCATCCCTCAGCCTGTGAAGGGAGGTCTTCTTCCCCTGGGGAAGCAGCAGGATGTCTTCCTGTCAGTCCTGGGCAGTCAGCAACAAGGTCACAGACCAGGCTAGTGGGTGCAGTGTAGGAAGAGGACAAGTGATCTCCATTCCATTTATTTAATGCAAATTGGCACTGCTAGGGGCATCATTCAGTCTAACTGTGCCAGTGTACAGGCACGTCCTGATTGTTTTGAACCTGAGTACAACATGGAATTATGTGCACTGAATACCTGACAGCCACGTCATGTTGTCAGTCAGTTGCATAACAGTGCTGCAGCTAATAAATTATTGTGGATGGCTCAGGCTATGCATGTTCATGAATGGCTCATGCACCACACTGTCATCACACTCAATCCTGCTGTTTCTCTATCTGCAGGACAAGATTATCCACTACAGGAGGCACCACTCCCACAACAGCAGCAGGGTACTGAGCAGTCACATCCTCAGCCCTCTTTCACAGCAAGCCACAGAGATTGGAGCAGGAAGGCTGTGACAATGAATGAAAGAGACAGGGTCTCCCACAGGAAGCCAGTGAACAAACCTCTAGATTGCTGTACTCAGCTTTGCAGTGTCGGACTTCTGCTCACACAAGGATCCGTGCATGTTCAGCAGCTGATTCTCTCTCTTCTCCACAACAGGTATTAATGGCAAACAGAAGAGAAGGAGGCTGAAAACACCAAAAAGCTCCCTCCATCCTTTACCAGAAGATGATGTTGCTGACAGCTCAGAGGTTGCATTAACAGTGTCCAGCTGCACCCACCACCAGCATAAAGGTCGTCACCCAGTGGGTCCACTGTCTGCAGTGGCCGTAGGCCCACAGCCTGGTGAGCACATCATCAACATGGGATCATAGCCAACAGAGAATGCAACGCTTCAGGTCTCTGAGACTCAGGGGACTACTAGAGGCCAGGGACCTGCTGAGTCCCATACAGATGACGTGCCTCTGTACTCTGCCAAAATGAGAGGTTTCGCATGCAGATGAAAGCAGAGGAACATCAAACATTCATATAAGTTATAGACATCGGGAAACATCCCAGAAATAGTTGTCAATGAGGAAGTGGAAGGGAGGAAGGAACTCATGAAAATTACAACTACAGAGAAGTAGTACTTAGCAAATTGTTGGAGTCGTGAACCCAATAGATCTCATACAGTCATACAGCATGGAAACAGATCCTTCGGTCTAAACCAGTCCATGCCGACCATGATCCCAAACTAAACTAGCCCCACCTCCCTGCACTTAGCCCATATCCCTTCAAACCTTCCCTATTCGTGAACTTCTCCAAATGTCTTTTAAACATTAGGAAATTTGGCATAAAAATTACGGATTGCTAAATGTTTACTAAAAATAAACCAGGTAGATTGACAGTTGTTTATTGAGCTCAAACTGTGGCATTTTTAATCTTGAACATATTGAGACTCTTTACAACAATTATATTACTTCTATTTGGCTGTAACAATGTCAGGAACCAACATCCTGCTCCCTAGAAGAGTATCTAATCGTAGATTAAGTCAGGGCACCTTCCGGCATCAAGAGTTCCTGACATTTTACATTGATTGATCAATAGCTTATGCTCAGTTTAGGACATTGTGGGGGGAAAACTGACACATATAGGCATTGGACTACTCCCACCAATGTCAGCCTAGCATGTGAAAAGAAGTAGATAGTGAGACAGACAATGCATTGACTTTTAAAAAAAATATTCACTAGCTTTTGGAAAGATGTCATTAGATTGGAAAGTAACTAATGTAACTCCTTCACTAAAACAGACAGGGAAATAGAAAGCAGGAAATGATTGACCAATTAGCTGAATATCTGTGTTGCAAAGTCGGGTGGAGTATTTGATGTTTGTAAAATGATAGCAGGCAAGATTGTGGTTCCTTTAAAAGATGATATGCTTTTCTAAACTTGGAGATTAAAAAAATGACTGCAGATGCATAGAGAGTTCTCGAAATTAAAACATTTTTATTGAAGACTGTATGGTTAGAACAAAAAAGCAGCATTTTTACCAAGTCAAAAGGTTTTTTAATTTAGCCAGTTAATTTAAAGCAGGCCCTAGATACCAAAAGCCAATTAATTTAAAATCTGATAGTTTTGACTATGTAGGACCAATC